GTCCCGGTGTCTAGGCTTTGTCTGGCTGAGGCTGCAGGTTTTTTGAGACTTTTTCCTGCGCACGCAGTTTTCATTGCTATTGAAAGTTTCGTGGAAAAGGTGGCTGAATTCCGCTGGTAAATATTGAGCTATTAGCCTTTCATCACTCGCAATATATCGATGATCTCTGAGGTAAAAAAAAAGAGGCAAGGAGCACGGTACAAGGAGTAGCCTGGGTCAGAGAGGAGCCCAATTTGCTAGATAGTCATAGACTAAAGTAGCACAATAAACCCACACACATACTGGAAAGTGCCGTTGACTCATCAACAATTGGAGTCTTCCTGGCTAATTAGCCGAAATCTCGGTCGTAGCGCCCACAAAAATTCCAAAGTTGAAATCTCCTCGAAGATATCGGTCCCAGCATGGTCTTCAGAGACCTCTTTCACCTCTCGCTCCACATATCAGCCGCCTGTTCTTCCTCGAGTTGTTTGTCCCATTAGAGCAACAGTCCCCCAGAAGCCATGACCCAGGCTTTGTATTTTTCGACTTGATTTCCTCCTTGCGGATCTTGTCTTGGTTTGTTCATCAACGTGCTAGGTAAATTGACTACCGTTGCACTCCTCATGGAGCTTAAGCACGGGTGGGGCCGGGCTGGATCAGGTTAACTACCATTAAGTACATCTACCACGTCCCACCTAAATGACCGGACCACCTCAGACTTCACCCATGTGTTGAATCATGTCAAGCCCAACCGTCCAGAAAACCCCCTTTTGGCGCGCCGAAGCGCAAATTCCTCCTCAGCCTCGGCCACCACGCACCCGAGCCCTTGACACCTCCGCGATCTGTAACTTTTCCCTTCACTTCATTCCCAGCTTTTGCTCATCTCAGCATCTCCTCATCTCATCCAGGGGTCGTTTTCTTCACTGAAGGCCTCATCCAGTCGCCCACCAAGGCCTCCTCAGTTTGTATTCCCTTTTGATTCCTTCATGCAGCATCCCTCTGTCCTTCAGTCAATCTCGTCATCCCAGAAACTTTGTATAATGTCCACCCCTCCGGCCTTGCCCCGTCGCTGCCGTACCCCTAACCGTGGAGGTCGAAAACGCGACTGAGAGCTCAAGACCGAGGCACCGGTGCCCCAGCCTTTGTCGAAAGCTCGGGTTGGTGTGCCGGCGAAATTTCGTACGTATTTCGTACGTATTTCGTCGGTGGCGATTCGTCGCAGGTCGAGTTGTTGGTGCCCTTGGCCGAGGTGAGGACGCATCTAAGGCCGGTATTTCGACCGTACCTTCACAGCGACTGGCAATTGCGTAGAGTCAGACATCCTCTTGCTTCTTTATTGGCGATTTGGCTTTTGGAGGTATGGGATTGCTTAGGTAGGTGGTGAGATGATTATTGAGAGGGCCGCGAGATGAGTTTGGCTAGGAATGATTTTCCAGAGAAATAGAAAATAAGATTTTAAAGGCGTCGGTTGTTGTGATACGAACGTCAGACAGGTTATAGGCTGTCTGCGGTTCGTATCTGGGGTGTAGATGGTTGATTTCGTTGAGTTGTGCAGTCGTGAAATCTCTGCAAGTCGGATTTTCGACCAAAAATGAGCCAACACCACTCCTCCCGATCGCCAACTCGACGAAAACTCTCACATTCACCCTTTGTCGTGACTGAATCTCGGCTCTGGAAGAATATTTCACTCCCAGGTTTGTAGAGTGCACCACTGACAGGTATTCAGCCTTCGTCCTCCATCCTCCTTGCGGGTATTAGTAGCGTCGTAAATTTTTAGTGGAGTCTGGCTGATATTTTATAGGGCAAGCTCCCGTTTGCAATTGGAGCAACTCCTTTATCGGTCTTTAAGGCGAGATGATGTGTGGTTGGAAGGAGGATGAGGACTTAGATGAGAATGGTAAGAGTGGCATTATTAAGAAGTCGTCAAATAGAGATGTGCTTGTATTTGCTCTAGACAATAATTCGGATGCGATTCTTATTATCTATTAGAGATTTGCAGATCATACTGAGCGATTAAACCGGCACCATGAAAAGGTACACTATTTGTATGTGCCAGCGCCAATGTTAGATAAAACATGTAATAAAGGCATTTGGCGAGTTATTAACCCTCGTTTGGCGGAAGTAGACCTCATGCAGAAACAGAACTTGCATGATAAAAATATACTAATAAACGTGCCCAATTCACTTCGTCATTGAACTACGGAATATTTTGTTACTCACGATGCAATGTGGACCTCGGGATCATCAATCGAACTCGATGCGGAACAAAATTTTCTTAATGAACTTGGAATAGACTTGTTATCTTGAAGCCGGAGAGTTCATCTTCTAGAAGAGCTATACCTGGCATGCACGGATCCATGACGGACAGGCAAGCAAGTAGCTGCGGATTAAAAGGTAAATAGAGCTGGCAGGACTAGTGCTAGGCTGCCTAGGTTTCTGGAGTAATGAGCTTTCATCTCACGTAACCTTAAGGGGTTAATGGATTGATACTCGATGGATCAACAACAAGCGCCGAATTCACAAGTTCTTGAGCGCTACCAAGTATCAAAGTATATGACACACATGACCAGAGTGAATTAGCCGCAATTGACGCAGATGTACAACTACCTACTGGTGTGTGGGAGAACGGCGACTATTCCTGATACAAAGTCGAAGCAATGGATTTGATCATTTTGTTGTCCAGTAAGACATTAGTAAATCGTTGATGAAACAATTGAGGCGATAACTACATGCGGGATTCCTGCCCACGTAAGCCCAGTTGACAATGTAACAGTATTCCAGTCTACCAGGAAGCACTCGACAATAAAACCGATGCTGCGGATTTTACGAGACTATCTATTTCCATTTCGAAACGCCGCGAAGCCAAGTGGTCTGTACGACAAATAAATGTGGATAAGTGGTTATCAGTGTTTCCCAATAAGTGCAAGGGAGGGTATCTTCAAATGCGCTGCAAATCCACCTGGAATTTTCATTAAGAGATATTTACGCATATGTAATCGGGCCTCTTGTTCGCTGGAATAATCTCTATACCAATCGCCGCTGCTGGGATTCTGAAACATCTATTCTGCATTACCAATGCAACTACGAAACCTTGGTAAATCAATGGAAGGAAACCCAGGCCATATCAATCAGCTCATGAACTTCAGCAGGTAGTACAATACAGTGCAACTTTGCAGAAGGCTAAGGTCAGAAGGTTGTCGAAAATTTGTACCATAAGCTGAGGGTAGCAAAATTATGCGTGGGCGTATGTTGGTAGGGTAATGTATATGACTACGATAGTGTGCGGCCCATACCAGAGGCGACCACCTACATCGACCATCAAATATGTATATGAGGCACGTGCGAAAGGTAACAGTAATTGAAGAACAATTGTTTTCGGACACAAGTTCTACATTTTGATCTGAATAGTTGAATAATCTTATGCAGATGAGGCCGATGTTTAGAACCATCCGGCCCAACACCACTTGTGTTAAATACCTATAGGGTATTATATTCATTATTTGGGTAGCATATTGAATTATACAACCAGCTTGTTGGAGGCTCTTACCTAGCTTTCTCCGTAGACCACTGGCATAAATAAATTTTAGGCGTCATTATGAAGTAAAGTTTTTCGGTCTGAGGCGTCCAAAAAGAGTACTTCGTACATGAAGACAATTAAGCTATACAATAGGTGAGCGAATATGTATTTAATGTACAAAGGAAGTTAGGCTACTATCGATCCTTGCAGCGGGAAACTCTTATACTGAAGCGTCTGTACGAATTGTCGCGGAATGACATTGCAAAAAATTGGGTAACAATCCTGAGCTGGAAGTAACCTTCTTGTAGAATAAGATGCTTGGATCTCTGCCGCGCCGTTGCACGGTTCAGAGGATGGCATCTGCAGTTGGCGATAACATGTACATAATTTGTCTATTATTCGTCGCGTTAATGAGTTTTTGTACTTTTTTCCTTAGTTCTCTGTCTCGTTACAGTAACCGGCACCGAAGAGAATCCCATATCTTGCAATGGCTCATCTCATCGATAGATCAAAATTTCATGTGGCATGCATCGGGTATTCTATTCTTCTCTAGCCATTCCGCACAGACATGTTCCATGTGGAATATCAAAGCGGCGACAAAAGTCTAACGCCGGGCTTGAAGGCAATCGATTGGGGATAGAACTGCCATGACATGGCTAAGTACACAGATTCTATGAGAACTCGATGGAATCTTAGTTGGTAAGCGCTACAGGAGAGCAATTGTAGAGGGATTCATATGGATTTCGGGCTAAATCTAGAAATGGCGTCGTGGCGTGAAGTGGAAGCGTTATTCGATCGGTCCAGCATGGCTTAGTCATCCGAGACATTGCGCCGCTCAGAGTGGCCAGCTCGAGACAGGTCGGGCTTGAGCTTTGGTAGGTTAACGGGCAGTCATGAGAATGCTGGCCACACACACAGGTACCTCGCCCGGAGGTGGCTTTGATTATTTGCTCGAGAGACAGCCGTAGTTTCGGATGGAGGCATACACGGCATTGTCGTCGTCGGGGTTTCAGGGCGCATGGCGCATGGCGATATATTCTCTTGCTTATCCCGCTCTAGTGCTACTGGAGCTGACTCTTCTATGCTGATAGTCACATGTCCAAAGCCCCGCCAACAAGTGCGACTTCACTATACTTAGAGTTCAATACACTTTGACTTACTCCAAATCCAGCGGGAATGAGAGTGTGCAAAACAAAAGGGATAGAAGGAAATTCGAAGGGATCGGAGAGTGAGAGAATAAGACTAAAAAGAGCGCAAGTTTAATCGGATTTACGCCGTTCCCTACGCACAACATATATTCTGCCAGCACGTCTGCCACCATAGCCGTTCGAGTTAGCCATCCAGCTGCGATATCAAGACGGCTTACGAGCTCATCACTAGTCACCGACCAGTCCTCTCATCTATCTACTCACTGATAACCTTTGTAGCCCCACTGTATCCTACGCAATTCCTTAGGCAGTGATTAAGTAGACCAACTACCCATCTACAGCTAACCAACCAACCCATGCCTGACAAGCTTTATCACGCTCCTAAAATTATTCCGCCACGGTCTTCATCTGTAGGCGTGCCGACCGGGAAGAAAGAACCTATTCGGCCTCATCAAACCTCTCTAAAGCCACCACGTTATTTACCCGTGACTAGTGAAGACAACTGGTTTTCAAAGCGCAACCATCAGCCCTCTCCCAAACTATCAACCTCTCCTCCTTATTTTGGCGGCAGCCCACTCTCCTCCTCCTCCATAGTCTCGAGAAGTCCTCTCCAGGACGATAACATGGCTTTTCATGGGAGGAGTTCCTGGTCATTGGACAAAGATAACATCTTGCTGGGCCCTTTTGAATACCTTGACGCCCAGCCTGGCAAGAACATCCGGTCGCAGCTAATAACTGCCTTCAACCAATGGCTCGATGTTCCGGAAGAGAGTTTAAAAATTATCACCAAAGTAGTGGGAATGCTGCACACATCATCTTTATTGATTGACGATGTTCAAGATTCGTCACTATTACGAAGAGGACTACCCGTTGCTCATAGTATTTTTGGTACGGCGCAGACTATCAACTCAGCGAATTATGTCTATTTTCTTGCATTACAGGAACTGCAAAAGCTGCAAAGTCCTAAAACCATCACAATCTACACAGAGGAGTTGTTGAATCTGCACCGAGGTCAGGGGATGGACCTTTTTTGGAGAGATACTTTGACTTGTCCAACTGAGGATGATTATCTCGAAATGGTTGGAAATAAAACAGGTGGTCTTTTCAGGCTCGCCATTAAGCTGATGCAAGCTGAGAGCAAAAATCTCAAGTACTTCATTATCATTTCCTCAATCTTTCCAATACTAACTCACACAGGGACTGTATACCTTTGGTGAATCTGATCGGGGTAATATTTCAAATTCGTGATGACTATCAGAATTTATCATCTAATGAGTACTCGGAGAATAAGGGCCTCTGTGAGGACTTAACCGAAGGAAAATTTTCATTTCCAATCATCCACAGTATTCGTGCCAATCCAGAAAATATGCAGCTTCTAAGCATCCTCAAGCAGAAGACAGAAAACGAACAGGTAAAGCGGTACGCGGTAGCCTATATGGAAGGTACGGATAGCTTCGCTTACTGCAGGAAAGTGTTGGCGAGGTTGATGGAGAGAGCCCGAGAACTAATTGCCGAACTAGACGATGGGAGCTCTCGGGGACAAGGTATCCTGGCAATATTGGAAAACTTAATTATTTAATCTTTAAGGTGCAGTGAAAACCAAAATAAAAGCTCTCATTAGAAACATGGGGTTTCTATGCAGCTTCGCTTACACCAACAACAACGTGGCCATTGAGAAGAAGCTCTATTAACAAAGCACCAAAGCTGCTTCTCAGTTGATAGGTTCATTCTTCATCTATCGTCACACTCCAGGTCGCCACCCGCGTATGATTCTGATTCGGGTGTCGTTACTACCTATAGTCAACTTCAATCATAACCATAGGCATGGGGCAAAATTTCTCTCTCTATCAGATGTCTACAACGTTGGTCAACAGGTACCACGAAGATGTGCAGCTAGGAAGCGGAGAATTGACTACTAAACCAGAGGAGATTCCGTTGTGGATACGCCTCTTCCACTAGACTTGTTAGCTTTGCATTCTAATAGATTCATTTGATGTGAAGGTTATTATGCCGTCTATTCATATGCAATGAGCCATGTAGAACAATCACTTTGGCTACTATTTCTTCTTGATCTCAGAATGATTTAGCTCTAATCCATTATGACTTGTTCACAATTGTTTCTTCATGTATCTTTCATTTCTATCTATATGCCTTAGCAACACGAATTGAACGTGATTTATTGATAAAAACTGTAAAAAATATATCGAAAAGGAGTTATCGAACAAATTTTGGTTGAACTTTGAAAAATGTAGAGATTCTATGGTGGAAATCGGAAGTATTGGGCTTGACGAGCCTTTTTTAAAATCACCATTTACGTATGTTAGCAGTTATAGTCTGCGCAAGTAGTAAATTGATACTGTCTCATAGTGGGTAATCAGTAGTATTTTATTGAATTGTGGACTGGAAGCGATTGACCTGGGGCAGATCAGAGTTTAATGAAATTTGTTAGTACTTTCGTTAGGCCTGTACACCTAGCCAAGCAATTTACAAACGACACATGGCTTGATAAGGGCACCTGGATTGGGTTTAGAACCTGTGTGCCAAGTCCATGAGGGGTAAATAGAGAGTAATTGAATTCATCTGATCCTTACACATTATTTGGGTCCACGCGGCTGTCTACGTCTAAAAGTTTTACCAAGGGAATAAGCTCGGTAAAAACCCCTAATTCTACCGTCTCCCGAGATGCTACGTTTCCCTTGGCAGAATGCAGTTTTATAATCAGTCTAGTAATTTCCCTGATCGTTGCACTCTGTAATTGGTTGCTTCTTCAACCCCTGAAAGTCGAAATTGTTCAAACTAACCTCTGTGATAGTTCTTGAAGCTATCTCATCCGTACCTTCTGGACTACTCAACAGGGATTCAGGGAACCCATCTCACGCCAGTCGCAGCTCTTCCCTTCATAATAGAATACAAAGCGGTATCGCAATGTGGATGGGAAGCCAGGGCCGCAGAATAAACCCTTATTTTTGCCGAAAAGCAGCCGGAGTCGCTAGTCCAAACTTCAGAGTTGTTATCCGACGTAAAACGTCAGATGTGCGGTACTGGTATGTCCTCAGTAGATCAATGTCTCAGTATGTGCCCGAAATTGTAGATCTATAGTTCATCTGATTCGGATTCTAAAGCTACCATACATGATCAGGGTCTTTTATGCACATACTGCTGTACCTTGACATTCAAGACATTAATGTTTGGTACTACTTTCGAGATGTTTGAGTAATACCTATGTTTACACCGCACAGTCAACCCCCCGTAATTTTAGATGTTCCCCTGGGTGGGTATTCACAGATGAGGGCTGACTTGGGGTGAAGAAATAGCCACCATAACTTCGCAGTGGTACTTGCAAATAAAATCCGAGGCATGAGTGCTCCTCTTGTAAATTGAGTCATCTTTTCTGTACTTTTCTTTGATATTGTGTCATAGCTAGATAGCTGCATACGCCATTAAAATCTGATGCAATAAAAAAACCCTCCGTAAATATCCATCGACAAGAACCCGCACGCCATTTAATCAACCAAGCTTGCTTCTGGTATCTCGTTCACAAGTTTCGTGGGAATGATGACCGGGGTTTGCTGGACTAAATTCAAAGGTCTGCGGCAAGTGGGCGAGGTGGAAAACAGTGTTCATCGATTGGTACCGGGCTCTGCCCGGAGTGAGTCCTCGCCGTTTTAGTAGATGAAATTAAAAACGATAAGTTGGTTGATGATAGTAGATGGAAGGGATTGAGCAACAGCTCAACCTGTAAAAAGTAGCACACCATCTGCCTCGGTCTCCCAAGTAGAGATTGGATAGTTCCGGCAGATTTCTCGCCGTGCTCCTGTCGAGGCGACGAAACCGTACTTGGATAACCATGGTCTTCAAATTTCCATTTAACGGATGCTCAGAGTTGGGGGTTTATTTTATTGTGTCAGCTAAAGTACCTCACAGATATTTGGTACTAGAACTCCATTTATGAGTTTCGCGGAAGTCAAAATGACCATCTGGCGTGTACACAAAAGCCATGATCATGTATCACAGCTTCAAGGCTCAATACGTGATAGGTCATTTAAGATACTGGACAACTTGAATTTCCAGCGCCAATTTAGCTGATCATGAGCTATATGATCAATGATAACTTGTCGACTAGGATTATTATTATTATTATTATTAATAATTCGTTTTATTGTCCTGTCTGAGTCTATGACTATGTAGGACATGCAGGTCCTCTCTGCCTACAGGCTAAGGATACCTATACCAGAAGTATATCCCCTCCTATGCCTCCCATACAGCTCCCCTCAAATAGGACCACCCCTCACAAGCCCTCATTCGATCATACACTTAGAGGAGCCCTTAGCCCTTCATTATCTTCCCTCTCCAGCCAACGAGACGATGGCCATTTACGGATATATGGCAGCCGGGAAAAATCGCAAAAAGCACTGGGCACGGGGCTCTCCTAATACCGACATGAGGACTAAATCCGAAGACATAGTGACCCTTCTGATGCGTTCGAAGAGGCCGGCCATCTGGGCGCTGCAGACTAGTGTGTACCTAGGGAAATTCACACTCTGCCTTTCTAGCCTCCTTCCAACTCCTTCCCGAAGGTCGTGCTGAAATGTCAGAAAAGTCTTCACAGAGCGTGATTGCTGTATGGCAGCTTAGCCCAACTTCTTTTGTACCGTCCAGGGCGCTGGGGAGTGCCGTTGACTCATCGACAAAAGAAGCCCTCCTGGCTAATTGGCCGAAAACTTGGTCTTGGCGCCCACAGAAAACAAAAAGTTGAAAACTCCTCGAAAATATCGGTCCCAGCATGGTCTTCAGAGACCTCTTTCACCTCTCGCTCTACATATCAGCCGCCTGTTCTTCCTTGAGTTGTTTGTCCCATTAGAGCAACAGTCCCCCAGAAGCCATGACCCAGGCTTTGTATATTTCGACTTGATTTCCTCCTTGCGGGTAATAATAGCGTCGTAAATATGTAGTGAGTGATAGCTGGAGATTAATGGGGCAAGCTCCTGTTTGAAATTGGAGTAACTTCTTTATAGGTAGTTGAGGCGGGATGATGCGTGGTTAGAGATGGGTTGAGGAATCAGATGATAATGATGAGAGAGGCGTTGTCGAGAAGTCGTCATATGGAGATGTGTATGAGGTTGCTTTCGACTTCAATTCTGATGCGATTCTTCTTGGCTATTCCAGATATGTAGAGCAAACTGAGCGATTACACCAGCACCACTAGAAGGTGAAGAATTCGTCTTTGCCGGCGTCGACTAGGATTTCTATTTCCAGAAAGCCATCATCATTTTATTAATCTGATGTGGAACTTATAACAATAGAACAAGGGTATTGACCCACTTAAACCAAAACTTAATTTTGTATTCGGGACCCGCGAAATGTAGCGTGTCAAAGTGCTTTTGGGAAGGAAGCATTGTAATTGACATGCCTTTGGTGCATTTGCTGACCATCACACCCATCCTCCCGACATTATCAAGTGCGCATGGACCTCGCGCAGGAAATAACAGGAAGTGGTTAACTATTCTACAATTAACACAAATTACCCATCAGTTGAAGACCGTTTGAGAGTCTCGAGACCGGGAAGATTTAGCCATGCTCAAAGCTATTGGTTCCATTCTGATTCCGACTAGTATGGCCATCTTCCTGTACCTCATCCACTGTCTCAATCCGTCCATTACTTTGGCCATCCTGCTCTACAGGAATCGGGCTTGGCTGCTGTCCCTCGTCAATGTCTCGCCTTTGACCATGCCTACTATTTTGGCTGCCCTCACCATCTGCTGCGTCTGCTATGGAGCTGTGCATTTCCGGCGAGACGGCCCGCTCGACCGACCATCATCTCAACTGAAGGATGAGTGCGCCTTCAAGCCCCTATTTTTTCCGTGTCGCACGACGCATCGGCGCATGTTTCCCGTCAAACACAGCTTCGCTTATTCTTATCTCCTCACCGGCATTCCTGTGGGACTTAGAGGCTCGGTCGGTGGCTTACTTTCGGTCGATGAAGTGCCTCAAAGTTCTTGGTGGTCCCGGCACTCATGGTATGTAGTGAGTGGAGACGACTATCTAGCGCGTGGCCATCATCCTGATGGGCTGCAAGGAAAGTTGCGTGACTATCTTGAGAGTCAAGTGAGTCGGCCGATATTGCCGAGATATCTTCATGTTTTTTGACTTCGAGTAGGGAGTGGATCATAAACAATACTCGCATGCTTACCTTCTCACAGCCGCAAAGTTCCAAGGATACTCGTCGAATCCAGTCTCCCTCTGGCACCTCTACTCACCTCAAAATGAACTAAAAGCCCTCATCTTAGAAGTCAACAACACTTTCGATGAGAGACACTGCTATTTCCTTCAGCCCTCCTCCCGATCTGGGAAAGCTAGTGATAGCTCTGACCAAAACGGCCCCGAGTTCGTCCGATATGCCTGCAAGTGGCCCAAAGACTTTTACGTGAGCACCTTCAATGATCGATCCGGCTCCTATTCCCTCTCTGCTAGCGATCCCTTTGCGCCGGCCCTCACCGGAAGCGGCCACATAAATACGACCATTACGCTCTCCGGCTCTTCGCATGATACCGCAATGATAATTACCAGAATTTTTTCTATCAACCCAGCCCACGATCCTGCCAAAATGTCAAAGTGGGAAAAATTGTTGTTTCTTACGACGTGGTGGTGGGTTGGCTTCGCAACCTTTCCCCGTACCCTGAGGCAGGCTTATAAACTCTTTTTCTACAAAAAGATGCCTTGGGCTTTCCGGCCAGAGCCCCGACGGAATACTATGGCTCGACAAGCCGACAAGACGGAAAGGAACCTTGAACAGCATTTCCGCGCCTTCCTCAAGAATCAGGTGTGCAACTCTGAAGAGGCCATCACTGTCAGATATCAGAGTGCTGGACTGGTGGGAAATGACAACCTGGACGCTATCCTCCAATCGCCGCTTGACAAAGCTGGCACACGGTGCGAGTCTACGATAAAAATATTGACACCATTATTCTACTCTCGGTTTGTGCAATATGCTTCCATATCCGACGCACTCATCTCAGAAAGCCAGCAGAGTGCTACACTTGAGGTCTCAAATTTACCCTCACTCCTCACAACTCTCACGGCAAAAGTGGACCCCAAACCTGAGCATGTAGTCCACTGCTATCCCAAGATTATTTACGAGCCTCTGTTTGTAATGCTTAGCTACCTTCGGTCTCGCCCTTCACCCATCTTATCCAAGGAACAATCTACTCCAGTAACTGCGCCCGCTCGTCGGATACCTTCGGCCACAGCCTTATCTGTGCTAGAAACATTTGTCCTTGATAGCGCTTCTTCTTCTCAGAAACGTGATTTTCTGCAGGATTGCTGGCGTCTGATGTTGACGGCGCGGCTAGCATTTGAGTCAAGTGTGTTATGGGAGCTTGAGGTCTTGGGCTTTCATGTTATTGTGTCTTGGTACCTCGTACGATGGGTCTGCACCATAGCATCTTGATCTGTGTGACTTCGAATCTCTAGGGCGTGTGGTGTCCCCGATAGGCTATCTTGGCTTAACTATTCCAAAGATTAATATTCTGAAGACATACACGGTAGACACTTGAAAAGGTCCCATGACTATTAGTTCATGAGACGACCATACAAGCGGGTCTGAGGAGGTTGAGGAGCGAGATAATTTATTGTAAACTGGCCCGTCGGATGCGACAATCCTTATCCGATGGAGGCAACGAATGATTCTTTCTTACGGAGGCAAAGGCCGGACTCCTGACGCCATTCTGATAATGTGGTGGGCTCTGCCTCACTATTCTCTCCCATATTCTCCCGAACCCAAGCTGTGAGCTCTCTGATACCGTGTCAAGATTCTGCGAGTGGTGATCGAGCAAGATAAGGCGTGTCAAATCTTTGGGAATTATTTCTAAGAACCAAGTCTGAACTTCTTAAAAATCTATATAGATTGAAGATGGTTTACTCCTGAGAATTGTTTCTCAGTTTCAGTCCAACTTTGCCTACATCGTGTCTACTTTAAGCTCTAGTTGGTTAGTAGTAAAAACCGACCCTTTCTATTAATCGTTTTGTCATATCGGGATACAGGGTTACTTACCATACAGTAGGTATACAAATAATCAGCTCGTACCGTTTGGACTTCTAGGTTCGACCTTAAAGAGATGTAGAGACTTGGACTTCAGCATGCCGGGGAATCGTGCGTTTGAATGAATTAGCGTACAACCATCATCGGACCTCTGCTAGCTTGACGTGTTTATCAAACACATATACTCTATAGCATAGGAATAAATGAAACTATAGTTAGATATCTTTGATCAGATTTGTATTACTCTATCGCAGTGATAGAAATCTATTAACATATTATCCGGATATTATGAGAATAGTCTTCAATGGACTTTATCCACAATCCAGAACCAACGCCTAGAATGCCTCCAAGTCGGTAAAAACCTTTGGATCCCGTTACCTAGGATATCAGTGAACGATGTTAAACAATTTTTTCGATAGACCGGAACCCCTTCGCCAATGAAGACCAAATTATACCCTAACTCCTGATATGCTTCTATCCCATATATGAATACGCCCTAAATTAAACCAAAGCTGGATGGCTTCCCAGCCCATATCCTGCAATGCAATTGAAAAAATCAAGAAACGGCGAGGTAAGTGGTCCCGCACCGGAACTTATAGACATTTACAGGCTCATCCATCCAAACATTATCGTTACACCTACAAGCAGCATTGTTGTTATTAAGCCGGCGCCAATTCTGTCGCCTTGTGTTGCGGGTTTAAAGGCGGAAGGGTCAATTACTGAACCAGCTCCCGCATTTGGGTTTCCTTCTGATGTTCCACCAGTTGCGTTGGTCAATGGAGGGCCGATAGATTCGAGAGCAAGAAGATTGACGAAAATCGCTGACATGGCAGCCATCTGTTGTCCAACGCCCTTTGTCCCATCCCAAACCGCACCTTTACTCCACGAGAGACCACAGGTACGACCGTTGGTATCGCCCGAACACTGCTTGGCTGCAGCAATAGCAGAGGCTCGTAGTTTAGGAATGATCAAGTCGTAAGTGAAGGGAGCAACCAACGCAGTTGATGCGAGCCATCGAGTCAGGTATGCTTTGAAGGAGAACATGTCAGTTGTGCAGGTGAGCTTAGGTTCACAGGCTACTTCGTATGCGATATCTTCGGGAAAGAATGTTGTGAAGGTTGAATTTAGAAGGGATGTGGTTCTCTGCTTCCATACTTCAGCGCCGTTTGTCTAATCTCATTAGTGGACATGCTAGACTTTAATGTCGAGGACGAGGTAACGAACATAGTTATACATATTTGCAGCGCCGAGGAGCCAGACGGCCATATTGTACGAGAACTGGACTTTGTTGATATCTGTACAATTTGTGCCGATGTGTGCGCCGTCGTATATGTTATAATTACTATCCATCAGTCCGACATTTTGAATCCAGTCCCAGGTGGTTTCCGCGTGCTGTGCATAGGTGTCGTTGTTGGTATACCTTGCTAGTCTCGCGCCAATATTAAAGAAACAACCATTTGCTATGGAGTTCTTGTAGTCGTATCCGGTCAAATAAGGGTAGACTTGCCACCGGAGACTACATGCGTCAGCGACATTTTTCCTATTTCAATTTTTCATAAACAACATACCCACCACCACACTCGTTATCAGGTCTCCGGGCCTGCGTATTGAAGACGGCTTGAGCTAGTGCTAGCCATCCAGGCTGGTTTGCTGGTGGATTTGGAAAGTTAGTTTCCGCCGCAAGTAAGGCCGTCATTCCCCAGAAGGCTTGATCATCATTTCCCATACTCTGACTCCAATTGCTGGGCATCATATCTTTATTCTCTCCAACCTGCCACTGGATTCCTCTGAGAGCTTCATCATTGTAACTTGAATCACCGGTGTAGTGCCAATAGTCAATTAAAGTCCCCCACATAGCACCTGACTCCCACCAATAATCTACAATTGTTATCGGCCGGACTAGAATCATTATTACGAATACTTACATCCGGTTGGGGGGTTTGGCGGTGGACCTGGAAGAACGCCGATAATTCCTCCGCTCTGATTTCCTTTGTAGTATGTCATCATGTCATATGCTATAGTCGAGGCGGCTGTCCTAATAGAAGCTGTGTGCGATTAGGTGAGCGCGCTCAGGAGAATTAGATTTCCTACTTACATGGAGAGGTAATTTCTAATTCAATGGCAGCGACAGCATGACATCTCAAGAGCGCCAAGATGGCGTAGAGAATAATGAATTTCATTTGGAGAGAGATTCGCAGTGAAGCCAGGCGGAATGAGAAATGGAGAGGAAGCGACGGTGGGAAGATGGACGGCGGATAGTTGTGACGGCGACCATCGAACAAAAAGACGGGGTTCTCCAAATTGAGGATATAAGGGCGGAGGGGGAGTAATGGAGAATAATTTGCCAAGGGGCGAGGATGGGACGGAATTGGGGGGGAGGCTATGGTTTTGGCGGTGGGACGTGATTGGGGAGGGGTCTGGAAGGAGAACTTGGACTCTTTTACTTGATGAACTAGTGTACTTTGATCTGGAAACGATCGCTGCTGGGGTGGTTTGACATGATTCTTTGATTGGTGGGATGAGAGGGATGTATGGAGAGAAATGCTCCTGCCAGCATAACCTCATTTCACCAGCCTCGAAACATTAGCAACTTTGCCGCCTAGCAGTGCGTTAAATTGCTGGCTCACGCCAGAGAAGTCTTGTGATGATAGAGAATGCTCTCATCGTTGATTGCAGCTACGTGTGCGGCTGCCAAACGGAACAAACTGGAGTAAGGTCAGGCGCCCCTGAAGACAATATTATTACTATTATTACTCATCTTAGTAATACGGGTTCTATTATTACTCCTATTAGTAATTCAGTTTCTATTAAAATCTGGTTGTCATTGGGGTGCCCAGCTTTCTGCCATTCTCCAATTGCCCGAACTCGCGCACTGGCATTCCTTGTTTAATCGTCTCTACTACCCTCGGCCGGTAGGCTGTACATGTGTATGAGATGTATCATGATTTACAATAATCCCGAACATAGAGAGCTCGTCCACCAAGCTCCGATAGATTCAACTCCAGCAGCAGACTTGACTTGAATGCATGGAGATTGTGTGTCCTTTCTACAATTCTAGGTCAGAAAGGATGTCTTCTGACGACGATGTAGTCCTTAATCCACTCTGAACGCGGCCTACGTGGATTTCCCCGTCTTCAAAACGACAAGGCGTCGACATTATGTCTTGGCGCGCCTGCATAATGGCAGTTCCTCGCCACGAAAAATGAGGCTGATGCATCGGCAGAGAGAAGTCACATCTTCACCTGTTTTACGAATTTACAACGCTGACTGAGGTTCGATGGATAAAATGCGTGAAAATTTTGGTAGGATGTAGGCCCGAGTAAGTTGTGATGATTAGCTTTTGGACGGAACGCCGATGATAACGGATGGGTCCTGAGGCAAAATGTTGCAGGCTAAGCAACAGGCAATGAAGTTGGATGGTGCGGTGGTATGTCATCCGGTCTGATCTCCCAAGGAAAGTCCAGATAGCTTTGTCACAAACCCTACTTGATACAGGAGATCCATGGTCCGAATACAAGAAAACAAATCCATGTTTCTGGCGTTGCTCGCGCACATGGATGACTAAGGCATTTTTAGGGAATCAAAGGGTTTGAATTTCCCTTTGATGGGTACATACGGAGAAGGGTTGACTGTTTGTATAAGCAAACATACCTCAGTGGTATATTCGAATGAAATGCAGAGTATGAGCGTCTCGCGTGTCAAAAGAGCCATCCAACATTTACACATAGCATCGGTCATGTGTCATAGCTAGATAGCCACATTCACATTAATTGATAAAAAAAATACAATCCATAAGGCTTCGTGTACTAGCTAGGATGGGAAAGCCATTTATCCAGTCGACATCAATAGCATTTTTCCGAGTAAAGGCAAGTCGCTGTGTCCTGGCTAGGCCGTGTAGCATAGTGGTGTGACACTTGGGCAGGTCTAACCAATACGTTGGTTGACTCGATACCAACCCAGTCCATGTGCTGACAGTTTTATCGAATCCAGCAAGTCTCCACACGTGCGTTATAGCTGCCAACAGAACGCTGGGCGTGACGGGCCAAACCGGGAACATACATGGCGAAATTCAGTGCGGAGTCGGCTTCTAGCGTCAACGGCCAGGAGGGCTGAGCAAGTGACCTTCTGATAGAAACCAGGGGGCGACCTAGCTTGAGTAGCCGGGCCCGGACAATCTTGACTCTACACATCATATAGCCGCTAACTTCAGCCTGCAGATGGGCGCACGATGAACAAAAAGTTCAACTGTTGGCACTTTGGAGGGTGCCCGAAGTTGCATTTTCAAAGTACGACCACCACAAAGACTTTCTCTCCAACTGCGTTCGACATCTTTCGCCGTCGTCTCCCCGTTGATTTTTACACGTCAGCACACCTTTACGTAATCTTCAACTACTTTCAGACCACTTGACACTTGTAGGCGAACGACAAAGGTTAAGTTCCACGTGCCCCACCCTCCCATCGCCAGCGAAACCTTAACAGCGATACAACCTCCCCCTCATTTCCTTGCTCTACATCTGCTGCACTTTAGATCGCCGCTCACCTTTCTATGATTCAGTGTCATGCCGATTCAGAATACTTAGGGAATACTGGCAAGCATTCGACGTCTGGAGCGGAGGCGTATTCCTCGATCCTTACCTTTGCGGAAGGTCGTGCGTGTCTGCATACTTTTAAGACGGGTCCCTGAATCTGGAGGAAAATCTTCATTCCACCCAGGGCGAAACTGTGGCTCCATCTCAGCCCTTCATCTTAATCAAGATCTGATTTGTGTCAGAAGCGACAGCGACTAGATAACTAGGTTACGCAACATTTAAAATCACAACCCAGCAACTTTTGATTACCAAGCTCGGCCTAAATTTGATGATCGGTGTTGACTGCAAAATAAACTAACTGCCTCGGTCAACGTTGGATTTAAGTTGACTAGAAACCTTCCGAACACAATAAGTGTGTCTTTCTTTTCCGCGCCCACCCTTACCCTGCTCTCGACGATCACATCGGACTCGTTGGAGCCATTTCCCATCTCGAACACATAAAGCTTAGCTCGGTTACGTGGGCGATCGCTTCCCCCGACTTATGTAAGGTGACTTGGTGCAATTACGGCAAGATGAAACTATTAACCACACTGCTGATTGTCGAGCATCTATGGAACATTGGTGTGCAATTATGCGCGGTAAGCTGCGAGTGACATCTGCTGACTTAAAAGTGGTTGCAGCTTGCAGGACTATTCCTTGAGGGACATCAGGGGAAAAGGATAACAGATTACTCCGCCCCTGATTATAAAGTTTCCACAATCAGCACTTATTTTTTCGGATTTGGCTGGTCGGCAAAGGTTCTTTCGAAATCATGCATCGCGCGGAGAAGTCTTTCGGACAATCGTTCCCTTGCTCTATTCAAGGAATGATCCTGTTGTCCTAGATGACGCAGGCAACGTGATACAGTCCTCTTCGCCGCCAGTGGTCTTAGTAATAAGACTTCTACCAAGCCCTGTCGACGAAACTATGACATCGCTAACGTACCTAAGAATTCCCCTTAGATTATCAACACAACTATGCACTTTTGGTCGCCATCTGCAAAACCTTCAAGCCACGGATAGATAGTGGTACCGACTTCCTGCATTTCTCAGGTGATACCGAATTGATCAACGGCACCTCAGATAAGGCTCTTTGCTAACATGGCCCTCAAAAGATATTTGATAATCGTTCTCTTTGACAGCCGGTATTACCCGTACACTGATTGTCATCTGTAGATACAGATCCATTCTCCACATGAAACCTCTAGTTTGTTTCGCAGAACCTGCTTACAATTCTACACTCGGTCCGGACTAGCTCATTTTAAGGGGGGGCTGGCATGGAAAAAAGCCATAATTTTGCTAGTTAAAATAGGGTTGTAAGCCGCATGTTAATGTAGAGCTTCAAATTGTTTGATGGGAACGCATGGGACAAACGATTGATTGCCTCATATGATGACGTTGGAAAAAGTGCTGATCTCTCAATCCATTTTTTTGGTATGTTTCAAGCAGTTCTGGCTCACGATACGTTACCAAAAGCTACGTATTTATGAGATCATTTAATGTAATTTCAGCTATCTGGCTATGAAAAATAATTGGTGCTATGGGTGCATATTACATGAATTTTTAACGCCAGAGACGCTCATACTCTACATTTCATTCGAATATACCACTGAGGTATGTTTGCTTATACAAACAGTCAACCCTTCTCCGTATGTACCCATCAAAGGGAAATTCAAACCCTTTGATTCCCTAAAAATGCCTTAGTCATCCATGTGCGCGAGCAACGCCAGAAACATGGATTTGTTTTCTTGTATTCGGACCAGGGATCTCCTGTATCAGGTAGGATTTGTGACAAAGCTATCCATACTTTACTTGGGAGACCAGCCTGGATGACATACCACCACATCAACCAAACATGGAGTTGTCAATATTGTCACCTGCACTCGAGCCAACGAAGTCGTGCGCCGCATGATGCTCAACTTGAGAATGCACTTTCCAAAACTGGAAGTCTAACACTCGTCGTGATTGTGTCTTCCTTTGTATCATCTTGTAAATCTATTCTGATTTCTCTCACACCCATCTCAATGAACTGCCCCTAGATCTTTTCACCACAATTTGTCCCCGGCGGGTTTCCATAATTTTGTGGGCGTGTATGTGGAAGCCATTTAAGGCCAGAGACTGATTTGACGAGAGGTGTGGTCATTGAAATAGTGATGTACGAGGTAATACTTGTAGATTTGATGCTTCGGTGGGAATTCATCTGGTTTAGAGTAATAGATTGATGTGGCAGAGGGTCTTGAACCATTGCGTCGTGAACCAACTTCTCTGGTATTGTGAAATCTTACTAAGATTGGCTCTGGGAGATTATTTGACACCCAGGTTCTCATGGACACTGCATATAGGTGTTTAGTCTCCAGCCATTCTTCCCTACCATCTATCTCTACAGTATCCATGGCCTAGCGCAGGGTCTATCGAATGCTGCTACATTGGCATCCTTTCTCAAATCTATGGCCCTATTCCAGAGGAGAAATGCTCAATCTACAGCTCATAGATCCACTGCATTTGCATGATCAATTATCTCCCTTGTCAGCGCGGGGTACCTGTTCTTTAGGTGAGAGTGAATGGAGGATTTTTTGGATTAAGATTTAGAGATGATTAATGATGAATCGTATGAACTGCTGATTCTCGGATATTCAGAACTGTGAGGATTCAAGAGCTAGAAAACACTTCTTATAAACATTAGTGAGGTAGCTAGACTCTCGTCTTACTTTCTCAAACAGCATCATGGAATATTCTAGTATCCTCCATCTAGTAGTATGTCTAGAACACTTTCCGTGCAGTGCTCCATTTTTCGAAAATACACATAGAATTATCCGGAAAGTTCTTCACCTCCAGCAATGATTACCTTTGTGCATCGTGATCTTGGCTATCATTAGCACGACCATGTCCTATCATAGGTTAGAGGTAAAAAACAGGGTCACGAGGAATTTGGTATCAGGTGAACGTTTGCTTGCCAGGAAGAAATGACTGCTTGATGTATCGAGTAATCATTGCAGAGTTTTCTAGAGCCCGGTACAATGTTGGTTCGTGGATAGATGTAATTTTTCCTGAATCCTTCTCTCGGTTAGCTTCCGTTATGCGGTGCTTGGATGAAAAGAATCGATACTGCTCATTCCGACCAATGATCCATAGAGCTTTCCACGTCCAGCCGTTTGTGAGGACCAAATCTCAATTATGCAAGCAAATTCATTTTCTGCCTCGTGCTGCACCTGCCCAGCGGTACACTAGCTGCAAAAGTTTTGGGGATAGCGTTTGTCATGGGGACGAGATCAGTAACCGGCTAGTAATAGTGTATGACAAAATTCTGGGTACTAAGAGCTACTAGTAAGTAGAGGAGGTAGATAAAACTCTTCCATGCCTTATCGGTTCCGTCTTGAAATCTAGAGCTGACTGGGTCATTGCTTAAAATTACATGGGCCACAAGCATTATTACCAGCAGCAGAGGCCATGGAGATCAGACATGGGCGGAGGTGGCGATTTGAATGACTGTCGAGCGGACCATGGGCTTATGACCACCATCTCCTCACCAGCCCTGTTCCTATTTCCTTGTTGATGGCATCCATCTCCACGTCGAGGAGAAGTGGGTGGATAGATGGGAAATCGTTGGGTACTTATAGGAGCCTTTGTCAGTCGAGTGACGAGACATGATCTCGACTAGTGATACTTAATGCGAGCGTAGAGCGCATTAATATGAGAGAGGCTTGGTTCTAGGACGAGTGGGGGTGTGAGATGTCTTCAATACTGTCATACTAAATATGGTTCAACCCGACGGTAGTTGCGATTAGTGCATTCCTTCCGTGATGGGATAAAGTTGAGGGGTAAGTGTTGATGAGAAGCCCGCATGACCTAATATGACTTGACTCCTGAGATTTAGGACGCAAGTGCGATGCTAAACAGATTTTCATATGATGTGAGATTGGGTGCCTCGGAAGCAATGAAGCTGAGGTTTCTGTCTTTCTATTAATTCACCGAGGAGCTAGGAAGCAACGGTTTCTAAGCTATCTGTTCGTGGCGTGAGTATGACCTTCTGGTATCTCTAGAAGTTGTCTTGTGTGGGAGGAGAGGTGCCAGCCGGTCCATGATCAGAAGGCGTCTACAGTTTGACTGGTAGCCTCGTCCTCTACGCTGTGCTTAGAGGGCTATTTGCAAGCTGACTTTCGGCGTCGTATCAGCATTGCAACGAAGTGGTGCACGCTACATGATGTCCGGTCCCTTCTACGAGGGTTGATAGCTTCTATCTAGCTACATGGTGTTTGTTTGTGAGGTGGCGGAGCCGCAGTGTCGGCACCGTGTATGCGCGACGAGGGAGGAGAGGAGAGTCTCTGGCACTCTCGTGAGTAGAATCAGAGAATGCACCGATAGCATGAATGTTTGCAATCACTATAATATTATCCTTCTGCACCTTCAATCACTGGCGACCCTATCGATTTCTGATGCAAAGAAACAAGTATTCTTCTCTACTGGCTAAGGCTAGGCGGTGTTACAGGCTGCGCATGAAATCCATTTACTTGTGTCTATCGACGTACCAATCGCCGATGGTTATTTTTGGGATTATAAGTGATCGTCGTTCCGACAGATAAGAAATGTTTTGGGGTCAGAATTATATTTCTGTCCTTCGGTCTAGAGAGGTATTATTTCCTAGATATCTAGGGAATAGACCGTTTTACAGCTAGCTTACTTTATCTTATTTTTTTAAGTGATAGCCCATCACCGACAAGGGATTCCTTGTCGATCATTATCATCATGGTAGAATTCGAGGAGATACATAGAGATTATGCCCACCTCTGATAGTTATGGCGCCGGTCCAGAAGTAGAGAGTCTTCATGGTTAACTTGGCCTTGCTTGCACCCTAGCCTTCTAGGTCCAGGGACGTGACTGAGTGCGATTCTATGTGGAAACCTGTGGCAAGCTTTTGTTTGCCCGGTGCGAGTCGTGTGGCAGTGGGCTAACCTTGAGCAGTTCGAGAGCGGAGAGGGTTGATTATTGTTGATTTAGGGTCGACATTTCTGTGAGGCGAAGCGTCCATTAGACCTGGGGTATACAGTGTTTAAGCGTCTATCCTTGAGATGGAATGCTTTGTTGCCTGTGGCTCTGCAGAAAATATTTGTGTGCGGTATAATTTCGCTGGCCTTTACTGGATCCTCAATAGTCGACTTCGTCTCGCTGTGTTAATATCAAATGCCTTTTTACTATCGTAGACAACGCTCCCTCTAACGAAAGAGCTCTCTTATCATCACAGCTCGATCCAGTGATAGCTAACATTTGGGTCTTTACGAGGTAGTTGGAGATGAGGAACTATGGGTAGAGGCGCTGGATATAAGATGTTTGAATCTCTGGCTGGCGGCGTTATGGAATGCTCATCCAGACTCTCGCAAGTTGAGGATTTTTTGCATCAAATTTTAATCGCGTGTGCAATTATCTAGCTATAACACTATGTTAGAGACAATATATTGAATGGATGACTCGACGTAAAACTAGAAGACTCATGCCTCAAATTTCATTCGCAAGTACCACTACGAAGTTATGGCGGCTTTTCTTCACCCAAATCTAGCCCTCGTCCATAAATACCCACCTAGGGAAACGTCTCATACACCCTGACTTATCTAGACAAGCCTACATCATCCATTACCCTGTATACTTTTGTAGTTTAGTAGGTGCCCAGGCTACTAAAACTATAACGAAGATCGCCACCAGAACGCGGATCACGGCGCCTTCCATCATTAGTTTAATTTTATAGTGTCAGCTGCACTCCTGCAATAGAAGTATTGCCGCGCACAATGCTCTTCAGTTTCTGGAACTCCTTGCCAAAATTCCAATTTTAACGCCCGTCGAGATAGTGTCCGTTCGATAAATTATCTAGTAAAATTTTCGAACCCTCTCACGTCGATCCCAACGAACTGCCTGCCAGGTTTGTGCGCCGCGATTTATTTCCTTCGACGGGTATAAATATTGGCGTGGGCGTGTATTTGGAGGCTAGCTTAGGCCAGAGAATGGTTGATGAGATGTGTCGTTATTCAAATGAGGATGTACAAGGTCATACTTCTAGACTTGATGAGGCTTAGGGTAAGAGTTGTTCTCATCCAAAGTGAAAATTTGACCTTGTGCGGTATTTTGAATAATGGCCTCTCGTTGGCGAACTTCTTTGATTTGCGGAATTTGATTGAACTTGCCTCTGGGATAAAATTTCACTCCCAGGTTCGTAGAAAACACGGCGTATGGTTGTTCAGTCTTGCCGTCCTGTAGAATGAGGTTATAGTAGTGATTGTACCATGTCTCTTTGGGTAGCTGTCATCTAGAGCGCGGATACTAGTTGCGGGTACAACACGATGAGGTAAGAGGAGTCTGATGGAGATGTCTATAGCAGTGCGCAAAATGTCAGTTGCTGTGGTAACTGAAGCCGCAGTCAACAGTTAATGTCTTCAACCGAAACATGCGTGCGCCTACTCTCTGGCCAGCTCATGTCCGAGGTGTGAGCAGGGCTTCGGGAGGCTTTGCCATGGCGTTGGCCACGCCGAACAACGGAAGAGTAGTCCGTCTGGTTCAGATTAGAGATGGCGGGGGTCCCGACAGAGATCTGGCAGGGACGTGCGGGTCCAGCTGCAGTTGGGAGGGGCCGAGTGGTCGATGATCGAAGTCTCAGCATCTGCATCGGAGAGTTTGCGCGGGCTCCATCGGGCTCATCAGGTGGCGGCGGCGGAGGAGGAAAAGAAATGAGATTGGACCGGGGGTAGGGCGGGGCGAGAGGCCTTCCAGATGACACTGCGGCGACCCCCTTTCCTCGCGACCCCTTTGGCCGTGCAGATCTCCATCTCTCGTTGCAAGCCCGATCTGGCCGGATGTCTTGTCGATCCGAGTGCGCCGGGCCCCTGGCCAGGTCCAGGTGTCGGCAGCGCTTAACGGCTAGACGCCGCGGCAAACGAGGAGGTCGATTAAGCTCAGCTAGTTGCGCGCGCAGCTGCAATCACGACACACGGCCGGCTCTGGAGCGCCTCGAAGCGAGGGTCGGGTGGCACGTGTCTTCGGGGGATCGACGGGCTTGTCGCCACGCCGTCGCATCGGCTCGGGCCGCAAGCGCCTTGGGCCACAGGACGGGGCGGCTCATCGTATTCGTATGCCCACACTAGATGGACATTAAGGCGCGAGTTTGGCGGAGGGCAACGAGCAGCATCACGTCGGCTACCACCGGCGGGCCTAGAAGCGACGCACGTGCATGCGCTGGTCAGGGGGCTGTCAATGCGCACGGGGCACGGAGTCCCTCTTGTGCCATGGCGAAGCCGACGACGATCCAGGGCCTCTGATGATCTATGGGCAGAGTGCCATTCCGACGTCTCCAGGCCGGTTCACTTGTGTGTCACGTGGTAATCACGAGCCTTACCCGAGCCGAGAAAATAATCGGCGGCCGAAAAGGCTGAAGCGAGTGAAGGAGGGGCTATTTGACAGTGCCACGTGGGCGCGAGTCGGGCTTTGAAGCGGCGGGACGATGATTTGGCGCGCGCGCCACATCGGCCGAGACGCGGCACCTAGGATACCACGCCACCGACCGGCCCGACGAGAGCGCGCGGCCGCGTGACACTGGACAGGGCGTAGTGGCAGCGCCAAGGCGCGGCGGCATAAGTCCGAGGTGGAGGGTCCGGCCGGCGCTATGCGGTCTCACGGACATTCGACTCGGCTCGTACGTGAAGGGGCGGCGGCGGCAGCGGAGATCTCGGACGCTTGGGCAGAATGGGAAAAGCGGACCCATGTGCTCACGGTACGTGAGGTAAGCTGCTGCGACGACGGCCGACTGCCCACGCTATAGCCGGCCTGGTACGCAGAGGCCGCAAGACCCCTATGACGCCCGACTGGACCAGCGGGCCCCTGTAATGCGGCCGGGGTTCGCCTCGACCCTGAGACTCAGGTGACGGCGAGTCAAGGTGGCCGCGCTGGGCCATCGGATGGGACGCTCGGCGGCTGATCTCGGCCGCGCCATCATCGATCTGGCAGCGTCAAGCCACCTACGTACATTCCTCCGTGCCCGACGTGGCGCCCCGCCGTGCGGCCGCGCGTCGTCGACGAATTGGCCTGTCGCCACGGCCCCTGCTCGTCCGTTTCCTGTTGAAGGCGACCACGGCCTCCGCTTCCTCTGGCCTCATGGTGCGTATCCCCGCTTCCCTCGTCCGCATTCCCTTCCTCTTCTACTTTCTCCCGTCGTCCGCAACTCCCAACACACGAGAACTCAGTGTCAGCAACTCTCACCCTCCGCCTGCGCCGCGCGTTTTGAGGCAAACTGGTCATGGAAGCGGTGGATGGAAGCCAAAGACTAAAGTTGGTCGGTCAGAAAGCGAGTCTCTGGTGTCTGTGAATCTAACGTCGAGTCAAAGTGGTCATCAGCCCGTCCTCAACCGCGACCGCCGTCCTGTCTATCACTATCCGCCGCCGCCACCACCACCACCACCACCACAACCGCAACAACAACAACAACAGCATCAGCATCACCTTTACCCTTCGTCCGCCAACCCGGCACATCTCTACCACAACGAGCCACCGCCACGCTACGAAGTGGCCTCGTCGGCCTTCCGCGCCCGCTCCTCGTCGCTCTACGGCCTCATCTCCTATCCTGAGCCCCGCTGGACACCCGATCATCCCAATGATCTCGTGCCTGCCCAGCCGCCGAGTCGTCAGTCTCTGCCCTCTATCCACGAAGCCCTCGCTCCGCAGGCCGCCTACGCCTCTCCCGCCTCGACGACGCCGTCGCCCTCATACGAGTCCTCCTATCCACCTCGATCCCAGACGCCACCTCATCCCTATGCCGCCGCCGACCCCGATCCATTTCTGCACAAGCGCCCTAGATCTCCGCCACCGCCGCCACCTCCACCAGCCATTCTCCGGCCCATAGAGTGTACGCCGCAATCCTTCAGCGAGCCTGCTCGTCACGTTGCCGCTCCGGCACCCTATGCCCGTTATGAGCCGACGCCCTTTGATCCCGATGCCACTGCTTCCACCGCTGAACCGCCCGCTGCTCGCGCTATGCGAGACCCGCCCACCTCGTGGAAGGCGGGGCGCGAGGATGAAAAGACGGACCCCGTCCTCAACTTTCGCGGTGGTCTCAAGCGGAATCTCGATGTGTGGGACTTTGAGAATAATCTCGCCGAGGTGTGTAGGCTCGAGACGGACCTCACGAGCCGAAGTTAACGCGTCCACAGATCAATATCTCGAGCAGCGCCCTGCAAGAATGGTCGGCTCACTACAATGCTCTAGCCCAGGACCAGCAGCGTTCCGTCAGCGTCTTGTCCGACCGCATGCCGACCATGGACTCTATCAAGGACATTCGGCGCCACCAAGAAAAGATCTTCAACTGCCTCGAGCACATGACCCGTATCATCAACGACGCGAACCAACAAAACGAGCGCGCCACCGTCGAGCAGCGCGCCCCGGACCTCGCTACCCGCTCCCTTGACTACGATGATGACCTCTCGAGTGCCCACGCCGACGAGGCTAAGACCCACTCCTATTGTTCTGATGCCAAAAAACGCCGAGGAGTAAGTGTTCCCTTCGCTCTGTCCGTTTTTTGCCATAGTCTAACGAACCTCTTCCCCTAGAGAGCCGCGCCGCCTGGACGCTGCCACAGTTGCAATCGTGCCGAGACTCCCGAGTGGCGACGCGGACCCGACGGCGCTCGAACCCTCTGCAACGCCTGCGGCCTCCACTACGCCAAGCTCACACGCAAGAACATTGTCCACAAGCCGCCCAGCTCAAGCGGCTCCTCGCTACGACACAAGTCAATGGACGTCTCGCCGCGGCCCCTTTGAGGCGTCAGGCTCTCAGCGAGGCATCGGGCTTGGCAGTCGGGCTAATGCGGACCAGCGGAGGGGAAAGCGGCGCTGGCGCCGAGATGGTTGTTAATCTGCAACGGCAGTGGGGGTGCATGTATGTCTATTTCTTCCCAATCTCCACGTCGACTCTAGTCGGCCTACAATGGGCAGCCGGACTCGTGTGTATTTCGGGCTATTTAGTCCCTCACCAGTGTCAGGCCAGGCCACGGTGAGCGTGATGGTCGAGGCGACAGGGCCCCCCTACATAGTGGCCGTCGCCACCACTGCTACACTGAATTGTTGGGGACGTCAGGGCCCGTGGAGGCCTCATCGTCGCTGGGCCAGGCCGCAGTTAGACCTCGCATCCCTGGTCTTGGCAGCTGCGGCGGTCGACGAATGGGAGAAATGGCGCGCACACTGCCACTGGATCTGCAGGCGACGGACCTGCAGGGATGAACATCGACCAGGCTCGGACATGCGGCGTCATGTGCCCTGCAGCGGCCGGCTTGGCCACGGTTCGCGGCGAAAAGGGTCGGCGCTCGCTCACTTTTGTTTTTATCTAATTCTCTATTTTCCCGTCCATCTCTGCCATGACTCGTGATCCCCACGTGCTATCGTCTCGACCTCGGTGATCGTCGTGTCCACCGACTGCCGACGCACCAATCGAGCAGCAGCCGCGCGGCATCTGCGTATCTCTACGCTTTTTCGCCTGCTCATTCCGAGCCATTGTCGCGCTCCAAATTAATAGTTTTTGAGGCACTTGGCATCTCGAGGAAGTGGGCGTCGGCCCCTTTGTACAGACAAGCAGTGCTTGTACGATTAACCGGATCAGAGGTGGCAGGCGTCGTGCTGTCTTAATTGCTTCTATTTTATCGCTACCAGACTGACAGCTCTAGTAGGCGCCTCTGCTCCCTCCTTTCTGCATTTGACCTGGATTGCGTATGCAGCTATCCATCTTTAGCACAATATTAGAGAAATATATTAGAATATATTACTTAATTTTAGAAAAAGAGCACTCAAGCCATAGATTTTGCTAATAGTACTACTTCGAGGTTGTGGCAGCTCTTAATCCGAAGTCAATCGTCATCTGTTAATACTAACGAAGGGGCGGTTTCAAAATCTTTGGTTATCCAATCACACCAGCACTGCGAGAAATTTGGTGCTGATTCGCCGTATTCTGACCAGTGATCACCTGTCCTAAACGTTATTAATGTCCAATCTTTCAGAATCTACCTGGAATACCGGCCCAGATGATGTACCACTGCGCCATCCATACATATCGGTGTTGATAGTGTCACCTGTACTCTCGCAGTCGGAGGCATGACACGCACAATGATCTTCATCCTGTAAATAAACTTGCCAAAACTAGATTTCATACATTCGTCGACAATATATCCGTCCTTTGTACTATTTTGCAAAATCTTTCCGATTTCACTCTCACTTACCTCAGAGAGCTAATTCCTACATATGTGCGCCAAAATTTGTCCCCTCCAGCAGGTATAAATATCGGCGTGAGCGTGTACAACTACTGACAACAAAATTCAGAGCCAGCTAAGACGAGCTATTCACCTTCCAGTGGTGACGGTGTAATATCCCAGTGTGCTCTGCATGTCTGGGATAGCCGAGGGAATTGCGTCCGAACCGAGGTTGAAAGCAAATAAGAGCATGTCTTGAATCGACGATCTCTCATCAATGTCGATCTTACCATTCTCACATGAGTCCTCAACCTCTATATCACCACACATCATCTTGCCTTACGATCGATGAAAAAGTTGCTCCAATCGCAAATGGGGGCTTGCCCCATTAAATACCTGCCATCTTCCACTAAAAATACGCCACTACTTACACCCGCAGAGAGGAGAATAAGTCGTCAGATATAATTCTTTGTGTTTGGCATTTTGGGGGCTACTCTTCTGATGGATCTATACAAGTTGGGGGAATACAGGCACGATGGGACAGATAAAATTTTGGGATATTTGAAGGCGAAATGATCAAGGTTTCGGGTAATTAGCTGGGAGGACCCAAGTTGTCGATGAGTCTACGGCATTTCCTAGTACTACAGACGGCACAAGAGAAATCGTGCTAAGCTACCATACAGCAATCACACTCTGTTAAGACATTTCTGAAATTTCAGCACGAACTTCGGGAAACGGTTGGAAGGAGGCTAGAAAGGAAGGGAGTGAATAATCTGAAGTAGCCACAAGTCTGCAGTGCCCAGCTGACCGGCCTCTTCGAACGCATCAGAAGGTTCACTATGTCTTCGGATTTAGTCCTAATGTCGGTATTAGAAGAGCCCCACACCCAGCGGTTTTTGCGGTTATTCCCGGCTGCTATACACCCGCAAATGGCCATCGTTTTCTTTGCTGAAGAGGAGATAGAGGAAGGTCAAAGGGTTCCTCTAAGTGCATGATCCAATGAGGACTTATGAGAGTGGTACTATTTCAGGGGAGCTGTATGGGAGGTATAGGAAGGAATATACTGTGAGGTACGTACCATTGGCCTGTAAACTGAGAGGGCCTGCATGTCCTGCGTTGTCTTAGACTGAGTAAGTTCAAAAATATAATGATAGTAATAATAATAGCCAACGGGAGGAGTAGTCATTCAAATGAGGACGTACTTGCAGACTTGACGAGGCTTAGTAGGGAATCAATCTCATTGTAAGTAAAAGATTGAAATGGTGGGGTATCTCGAATCATTGCCTGTTAGGCCAACTTTTGTATTCCGAATTTTTCCTGATCTCGATTATAGGAGCATATCTCTCACACATGTTTGTAGAAGACACCGCGAGAAGACGTTGAGTCTCTGTCTTCCCCTCAACTATCTCGCTTGTCACCTGTTGGCACAAGCGTTACCACCAGCGGTATCCCCACCCTCCAAGACTTCAGAGTCTCTGAGGGCCAATTGATCTTGAAAAGCCAGCTTTACCTGCCCGTCGGGTAAAGCTCGGGCTCGAGTCTCCAAGGTATCAACAAACTCCCCTCCTTCCACTACCACCACCACCATTATAACCATCACCATCACCACATCCTCTGCGTCGACCCCGACAACAGTTGTGCTATCGAGCGGCTTATCATCGCTGCCAGGGAAGCACGAACAACCCCATAATGGGTCTACTGTAGGTTGCCAGCTGCCCGCATTTCCCGAGCGTGTTACTGACCTGACCGTGGCTCAGAGCGATCGGAACGCCCCTCGAATGGGTAGAAGCCCAACATAAGGCAGACCAGGTCCGGCGATGGGGTGTCGAGGTACGCGTGGTCCGCAACGCCCACGTCCCTTACTGACCATCGCCCACCGCATAGCAACTACTATCCATGTGGAACAAGGCCAAGTCCAGGGAGAATGACGCTCTGCTCTGGGGCGACGAAGTACCTCAAGCTCACTCCCTAGCACCTCATAAGTTCGACTGACCGGAGCCAGGTCGAATACCTCGTTGTTGACTACAAAGACGATGACCCGCGCGTGACCCTTTCACTGCGTCAGGCTGAAATTCTAGAGGCCCTCGCTGCGCACTCAGATCCAAATGGGAACGCCCATGACCCGACCGACTCGGCTTCAGAGAGCCACGAGAGGTGTGTAGACGCTTGCTGAACACAAACTGCTTGCTTAAACTGCCCAAGGACGATCGCGCCACCCATCTTCCACCCCGAATTCGGCCGCTTCATGTTGGAATCAACGCCGGGCAAGCCCTGGGGTAGTAACCTCAATGATCTCCTCGACGTCGAGCCCAGCATGAGGCTAAGGTAATGCATTTTTTCAAGTACTCGCCGCCCGCCGCCTGTCGCTCTCCGCCCTCACTAACGCTGCCTGTAGACGCAAGATGGCCAAGCAACACTTGCTTCCTCACGAGTTCCCTCTCACCCTCACCAATTTCCCTCGCCTAGGCAGCCCTGGCATCACAACTACGCCCTATTATCCCGTCTCGGGTGAGCGACTGCGCTCGCAGTTTGTCCCCGACGAAATCGCCAATCCGCACATTCGCTTCCCCACCCTAGCCGCCAACATTCGTGCACGCCGCGGCCGCAAAGTGCAGATCAATGTGCCCGTTTACCGAGATACGCAGACGCCGTGGCCCTGGAAGGATCCGACCGTTGACTACGACCTCCATCGCTGGCCTGAGGATGACGACGTACGCCAAGGTGCGGCGCCGGTCAACTTCATTCACATGGATGCTATGGCCTTTGGTATGGGCACTTGCTGTCTGCAAATCACCTTTCAGGCAAGAGATCTCGGTGAATCCCGACTCTTGTACGACCAGCTCAGTCCCTTGGCTCCTATTTTTCTCGCACTAACAGCGGCAACACCCATCTATAAAGGGTTCCTCGCCGATACTGACGTCCGCTGGAACCAAATTGGAGCCTCTGTCGATGATCGAACGCGCGAAGAGCTCGGCGAAGAGGTTCGTCTGCCGCGAAGTCTAATTTCCGTACGAAGGCTAACTGTGTGCAGCCTCTGCAGCAGAATCGCCGGCGAATCCCCAAATCGCGCTACGCCGCCAACTCTACCTACATTGCTCAAGATGCTCGCCTGCGCTCCGAGTATATGGATCCCGACCTCCCCTTCGACCCAGCAGTTCAGCAGGCCTTGCTAGCCGGCGGCATGGATGTGCGTCTCGCCACCCACTTTGCCCACCTCTTCATCCGAGATCCCCTCGTCGTTTTTGCCGAAGATCTCGAGAGCCTCAATCTTGCGGCCGCCGATCACTTCGAGAATCTGCAGTCGACGAACTGGCAGCATGTCCGCTTCAAGCCGCCGCCGCCGGCCTCTAATGAGATGGGCTGGCGCGTCGAGTTTCGACCCATGGAAGTGCAGCTGACAGATTTCGAGAATGCTGCCTTTACTGTCTTCATCGTTCTCCTTACCCGCGCCATCCTCAGCTTCAATCTCAATTTCTACCTACCCATAGCTCGCACCGATGAAAACATGGAGACGGCGCACGCCCGCAATGCCGTCACCAGTCGACAATTTTACTTTCGTCGGAATCCCGTATCCTTGCCAGATTCGGCCGCTGCGCTACCGTTGCCCATTGAATCTGAATATCGCCTCATGAGTATTGACGAGATTATTAACGGCAGCAGTAAAAAGTCACCCGCCGCCTTTCCCGGTCTCCTACCGCTCGTCGAGACCTATCTTGCCAACCGTAACGTCGACGTCACTACGAGCTGTCAGCTAAGAGCCTATTTCAATCTCATTCGCGATCGCGCCAATGGTCGGCTCTGGACGGCAGCGCACTGGATGCGTAGTTTTGTCCAGTCTCACGCTGCCTATACCAGCGACAGCGTCGTAAGTGAAGTTATCACGCACGATCTTGTCCAGGCTGTGTTGGCGCTTGAGACGGGTCCGACTAGCGCTGTCCCGAATCGGGACCGCTTCCTGCCTACATGAGCATCGGCAGCATTAGCCCAAGCTTAGCGCATCCAGGTCAACTAAATAGTAGTCTACTTGCCCTATTATCATTATGCCTCTGTCGTGTTCCTTGCTTGTGATTGTGCCTACCCAGCCGCGGCGTCTACAGAAACCCAGATGATGGTCTCCGGGCACTCAGACGTAATCTTCTCACACCGGGATGATATACCATGTCTACCCATCTGTACTTGAGCTAGCTTGGTTTTAGCTCGGCCCCATCAGCCCAAACCCTTTTCGTCGCCCTCTCTGGAGATGGACTAGAGAAAGCGTTTGCACCGTGTCTGTATAATCCTCTATTGTCCATTTATCTGCCGTGTCACTAAAAAAGTATTACCAATATGAATATACCTTTAGCTACGGCACACACTCAGCGTCGAGTGTACATGCAAGATGACACTATGACTACAGTGTATGACTCGTATTCCTCTTGTGTTTATGCCATTATCCATTAGCATATCAACTCAGAGAGCAGCGGGCTCTGCCCATTGCGAAGCAGCCAATTTTTTGAGTACTGCGAAACTTCTCGAGTCAGCCCCAGGATGACAGATGTCCGCTATCTGCGCCGGGCTCTCGCCGAGATATTTGACATAGCATGTTCAAATCATGTAGCCTCAAACAACTACATAGTTTCTCTTTCAAGGCTAGACTTGGATTATATATATTGATGGTTTCCACGAAATTTCCCAGGAGGAGCCGAGTACCGATTGCAAAACAACGCTTAGCTTGGTCACTACGAGGGTCGAACTCGCGACCTTGGCGTTATTAGCACCACGCTCTAACCAACTGAGCTAAGCGACCGATGACACCGTGAGCAGGATAACAGTATATAATGTATATCGTGATAGTAATCATGGTGGCAGAAGTCAGTGAACAAATATAACTTGGCTATATTTCAATATTGAAAACCGCGTTGGTTTCTGCGAGACATTCACTGTTGCAAGTACGAGCGCTTTCGAGCGACATACAACACATCACCATGTCGTGAACACGAGAAGCTACTGGTAATAATGCTAGGCGAGATGGGAACGGACACAGCAGCTACGGCCACGTATGAATTGAGAAGATCAAGGTAGCGTGACAAATAATTGACTGGGCCGGCTGGCTTGAACGGACTAGCTGTAAACTTAATAAGATCTACCGATACCCCTTCGTTACCTTTGCCCCATATTTTCTTGCTCCCAGTTGCATAACCTACCGCTTGGGCCCATGTAAATCCGAGCCTTATCTATACCCTTCGTAATAAATCTACCAGTGAACTTTTCGGTTTGTTGTACATCAACTATTTACATGGGCATAATATGGCAGCGGCTGTAAGCTATTGCGAGAGTGCATAAAACGACCCAAGCCAGCTTGATTTATTACTTGTCTGTACGATAACGTATGGGGCTAACAGAGACGCGGATTGCAACAAGCCTCAATAGCCATGCTGCTCGTGCTTCTGATTCCCAATTTCAGTGGCTTCACCCGCCTCCTGTACTGGCAGTTCATCACCACGAATCTTTGCGAAATAAGCCTTGATATCTTCAGCTGAGATGGCTTCACCACTCTGTGCAAACTGTTGAAAGAAAGGCTTAAGCTTGTCTTTGAGTTTTTTGTATGCCATGACACCTTCTATAGCCTGGACACGATCGATATTCTGAAGCGCGCTCTCACCACGATCGTAAATACTACCGCTTCCTGCCGTGCTGCCGGCTAAATCGCAGTGACTCGAAGCAACCGAAGGCTCATAAACTTCTTCGGCTTGTAGAAGTTGAGGGTGGACTTGTAGCTTAGGGAAGCAGGAATTGCAGTGGCAGAGATATGAGCGAAAATCCTCTTTGAAAAAGAGGGAGAATTGCTCTTTATCTGCGACTGGATAAGCCTCAATCCTACATGAAGAGGTCTGTATATCTTGGGGCTCCGTAGAAGCGTTATCATTAGAAGTTCTATTAAGCTCTATATTATCAATAATTGTTTCTTTTTTATTCCGCTTATAAATCTCAGCGGGTTCACCGTTGTCTCCTTCTACTTTTCTCTTCTTCCCAGTTTGTGAAGTTGATTCTGTTTCGTCGGTCTCATGAGCGGTAGCAGCTTTTTTTCGGTAAATCGCAGGCAAAAATCCAGGCGTACCCGCATATCTCTTTATCCACGGATACGCATCAACACACTTGTAACAAATGAAGCCCTCAAAATCGTCTTCGTTCGGGAAACCAGGTGGGGTTAGTCCTTCGCCTTCACTGCAATCGTTCAATTCTGTCATCAGGGGTGCGGTAAATCTGCCTTCTTCACAGCTCTCTTCCCCCCTGTTTATCGGAGCTTCGGTGGTAGTCTCGATGCCTTTTGGATCTTTCAAGGGGGTAGATGTACGTGTTTCATTTTGATCCTCGTAACTTTCACGATCAAGTCCGAGAATGCACTCTGGATGCCACCAGTCTTCGCCGCATCCGCCCGTCTCAGCTGTGCCGAGCCCTAGACACTGATACATAGTCCCTTTCTCTTCTTCTGCATCATAGAGACATTTGCATCCGCAAAATCGGTTTCTGAAGTTTTGATTGTACTTGTTGGTGGCTGACGGTTTCTCAGAGTGCACACTTCCTCTCTTATTAGTCACTGGATCGATCCGCAGCGTACATGGCGATGTAATAGGAAAGCGCGTTGTCCCACAATCGCACTCAAATTCTCTCTTAACAAAAAGCTCAACAAGCGTATGCTCTCCATGACATTGAATTGAACAGGAATAGCAGACGCTTGCTGCGTTGTATTTTTCATTCGGGTCGTCTGGGGCAGGATTACAAGTAAGACACGAGAATAAGCTTTGTCGAAGCTTTCCGAGAGGCTTCGTACATTGATCGAATTTCTATCAATCAGGTCAGACTTTTCGTCGCCTATAAGGAATAAAGGGGTTGTTAACATAGGGTAATGCTTCTCGCGCATCTGCCTCTAGCTGGAGCTGGCTACTGAGAAACCTAGGTTGAAATTAAAATAGGTAGCAAACAATGATCTACCGCGTATTTATAAGATATGCGTCTGTAGTTTCTGGAGGAGGCGGTTGAACATACTCGGCTGCCGTGTAAGAATCGTCAGGTTTCTCTATCATTTCAGTACTTGACATATCAATCGGTTGTGTGCTGGGGGTCAGGTTGTAAAGATTGCTTGCAAATTTCGATTAATCCTGATCTATCTGTTGGTTTCCTAGTGAGTTTGCTGAGAGTGGCGTTAGATGAGACTAGGAAGTCACTACGGCGGTAAAACGCGCCGTTAAATTTCGCGTCGCATTAGCCAGTGAAGGATAGCAAGATTTCAAAAACATTATGGCTATCGGAATGAAACCGAATCATAAGCTACATTCATTATAAGTGATAATTGGAGTATTGTTACAGCTTGATGAAGTGTCGGCATAGAACGGAAATACCAGTGACATCGAGGCGGCAAACCTACTAACTTACAAACACATTACTATATTAATGACCACTAGGTGATCATAAAAGACTATCGTCCACTTAATGAACATGATAAGCAGAAAAATCTACTCACGCCTGCCAGCTCTCCACGATGGGTCCATCTTACTAGTGTCCAGCTCTGTTGATAGTCTCCTAGATCAATACACTACCTACCACGTTGACTGTAAGATACGTCATGGTGAGGACCAGGTTTGAAAGCATTGGTGGCCACAAGGAGATTGACACTGGTCTTAGAAATGAAAATGACCCAGGAGTGAAATCAGGTATTTATAAACTAGGGCGATAATTGGGGTTGGGTCAAAACCTCGATTAAGACATTAATTGGGTGCAGGCGGTTGAAGTTAAAATCATAGTGAGGGAGTAGGTAATACTTCTGCGTCTCATAGTTGGATTTTTTTCATAAGTAGTCGCAAGTACACCGGCAAGATATGCACTCTTTTGAATGTTAACCTGCCTTTGGCATGACCAGACCGGGTCAATTACTACATACGGAGCCATTGCGGATTCCACCCATCTGTTGAACCACATACATTTTAACCTACATTAAGAGCCGTCGTATCCGCACCAAAAGGGTAATTCCTAGCCGACCTCTGTCTCCATTCGCCCAAACCTTGAAAATTCTCACGATTTCATCACACTTAAATTATTGGAGATAACAAGCTCGGTCTCACATTATCTCGCAACATATTAGTAAATCGATCTCAACTTGTAGGATAAATTGTGATCGCTAAAGCATATTACTCTCGGTTCTACCATGTATTTCCATTTACTTCCTCCTATTTATATACCGTTATTGTTTCCTCATTCGGGTGTATATCTGTGGATCGTGAGATGATTGTAGGGAAAGTACTCAAGTCAACTTTATCTGCGAGCTTCAATGATGTGATTGATAGACTGCCAAGACCATTATTTGTTAATGAAAGCCAATTTATTCATGACGGGCATAAGCCTGGTACTCGTAGAACTTGACACAGATATGGCTAGTCTTTCCCCGACAACTACATACGAACATTTCGCAGTTTAACATTTGGACCACTCATGTACTGGGTGCATTCGCTGATACCACTCGAGACCTTGGTGCTAGAGACTCTCATTCTTCTCTCAACCGTTCATGTCCACCATAGGTAAAACAGGAAAAACCTTTGGCTGACTTAAAATTCCTTTGTCAACTTATATATAACCACAGCGCTCCCATTGTCTAGTGAGGTAGGTATCCTGGCTATCGAGATTTTAATTCGGGGAAATGACGACTAGGAGGCGGACCAAAAGACCTTCCATCGTTGCCTGAGTTTAGAGTGGCGGTTGCACTATCCGAAATCGTTGCCTCTGCGCACACAGACACCCTCAAGTCGAAAACATGCGTCCCCGTATGCCCATTTGTGACATCTGAACTCATTTATCCCACATCCAAGCCCTATCCTCCCTCAGGACGTGAAGCCTCATTAGAGCAACGGTCCCTCATAGACCAAAACCCGAGCTGTATTTATTATGACCTAGTTTCTCCCTTATGGGTATGCATAGCATCGTATCTTTGTAAATTGAAATGGCCTATTATTGATGAGGCCAATTTCCGATTGCAAGTAGAGTAACACCTCTATTGGTAGATGAGGCGACGTGGTATGGCAAGATTGAGGTGGAAAACATGCGTGAGAGTGATAGGTCCGACCTTGGCAAGAAGTCGTCGATTTGAGATATGATTGAGACTGCTTTCGACTGCGATTAGGATGCGAATCTTCTTGGCTATCCCATAAATGCAGAGCGTGCTGACCGATTACACCGGCACTATTAGAAGGTGAAAATTTAGTCTGTGCAGGCTTTTTTTTGTTAATATACGAGTTTAAAAATATCTAATAAACCAACAAAGACTGTAACGGCGCAGAGTCTATACTCGAGTTTCATGCGGTGTCAGTATTCTTACTAATAAATTTAAGCATAGAATACCCGGTACATCACCTTTGCAACGATAGTTTTCAGCTCAATCTTATCCCACACTCTGCTGTGACTGGTTCTGAGAGGTGGGCAAATATGTCAGTATTAGGCTAGCAGGTGATACCACTGATTGGCGTTCGGTCTTTGTTTACTCTAGGTATCGTCAGTTAACATAGTTGCTAGGCAGTAAGGACCTATCTTGATCCGGTAGGTTCTGGAACATGCGGCGTTGTGCCAGATCTAGGTGGCTATCGTGATCATTTAGTCATCGACATACAATAGTGACGTTCTACATCAAAACTGTTAGACTACTGAAATCAATGGTGAGTCCCAGAAGGCAATGTATCAGTGATTCCTTGATCATAGTTTGTTTTTTCAAAGGGAAACACAGCACCAGGTTATGGCGGGAATAGCGGTGGAAACAATGAAGGCATTTCTCGTGTCCAAATCACAACATGCTTCTTTTCTCACTGCTGCCGTATTAACTTGTCCCCTCCCCAATTTGGGATCGGTCAACGCGTCAAAATACTTTTAAAACATAAAAATATCTATCAAGAGTCGAATACTATGTAGGGCTTGTGAGTTCACCCTTTCTCAGGCTACATTTACCGATGTCACATGCAGTGAATTTCATCATCAGCCTACTGTACAGCCACCACGTATTCGTAGTTTCCCTCCCGAATATTTGCTAGGTCAACTGTTTAAAGTCTTTTGCTTCTCAATACGTCCTCTCTCCTTCCAACGAAGCGAGGGATATTTGAATGTACTTGGTTAACGTAATATTTTGGCATGGCAAGCGCATGATATATGGAAAGAAAAAAGTCGGCTCGAACAGTTCTGCTTTTGCAATACAGGGCAAGGGGGTGAATCTGTGAGCTACATTTGAAAGCGTCACAACTTGAGGACAGAATATACCCGACTATGGGGCCGTGTAAATACAAAAGCTCTCATTCGAGCGCGCGTACACGCCGTTCAGATGCTTATGTATCCCACGCTGACTTGAAAAACTGCCTTACGACATATCCGAACCCAACTAAATTAATAGTCGGCGCCACAGGAAAATTTAGATTACAACGTCAGATCAAATTTTCCTTCGCTGTCTTGAGTAGTTGAGAAAGCTGAAAATTCACCGAAAATAGAAGCTTTCCTGGCTAGTGGTGTATTTGTTCTTAGCTCACAAGGCACCTTAGTCGGGGCTGAAGATTTGTATAGGACACCGCTGACAAAGATTGAGTCGTATGCTCCTCATTCACGTATTTTCCAATTTTTCTAAACATCCATAAAGCTCTCTACGCAGACGACATCATCATCAGTGTGTTGACCAGTTAGTGTCAGGGTCCCAAATATGACTAAGCTCTTGGCATTACGAGTGTACGGACTATGACTCACTACTATTTGGGGCACCCAAATAAGAATATGGCAAAGTCAATGCTTCCATGCATCTTGAGTGTGTTTTCTACGTGGTGCTAGCGCGTGGTCCAAACGTGCTTCCAAATGTCGCACATGGCAAAAATTTCCGAGATAAGGCCTCGATGGACCAAGCAGTAGATGGGGACTAGACACCCGTGAGTAGTGCTCACCGCAGTTCGGGACGAGTGTCATATCATCCTGGCTAAGACTCGGTCCGAAAAAATAAGCACAGTTGGGGGTTCCGACGAGATAGGGTTTAGATGTGATTGTGCTAGCCTTTTGTCAGTCGAAAGGCCGATCTGTAAGGTCTCACGACTGCAAGGGCCAGTAGTTTCCATTTTTTCCACCTCACATCCGAATCATGGCTGGGCCCAACAATGTCAAGAATTCTTGTACAAGCAACAGACATCTTGCACGCTACTAACTTCTACTGGCACTGTCTGAAAACTTGATCGCGACTTAGGTCCTTTGTAAACTCATCTAACCAACTACAGATACTTTTGAATGCCCAAAGGTTAGCCTCTCCTATATTGCGAGAGGACTCTCAACCCTGCGACAATGCCGTATGCTAAGATTGTATGATTTGTTTTCCGACCTTCGTTTATCTAAATCCCCGACAAGACAGCAACTTAATCTCGCCAGCCGGTCAGTGAGTGTCTTAAAGGAATCCTGGATGGTCGCTACCTCGGTCTCGGGCCTTCAATCGTATATTCGGCTTGCAGGGCAAGGGTTACGGAAGCAAGGGGCAAGGATCGAGGTTAAATTATTGGACAACAATCAAACGGCTGTAGGGGATCAATTGGCTAATGGACAGGAAGATGCACTGAAAGAAGAAAAAAGATGACAGACGCAGATGGTCCGACTGGCAACTGGATGGGACCCTCTGACGAAGAGGACGACCCCTGTAGTAATTGAAAAAGCAAAAAGCGGGAAGATGTCAAGAGCTCGGACGCGTAATGATCGAGATTGCACGAAGGAAAGGGTTCTTTAGATGGTCGGATTTGACATAAACGTCCAATTGGGTAAGATCTAGGGTAGCCTGGTCGTTCAGGAGGGTCGAAGTTTATCTGCTTCTTGGTAGTGAACCTGATCTAGCTCGGTCCCACTCATATTAAGCTTCAAAGGAGTACAGTGGATTCCAGTTACCCAGCATGTCAACAAAAAACAAGGAGTCATCGATACTCGCTTGATCACTGCCCGATCTTGACATGATGGCATTGCGACGTACCGCCGTCTTAAAAAAGACACCGGCCATGCCAAGACATGACAGCAATGCCATGAGTACCCCTGCTCGGATGAAGCAAATGGCAGT